GGACAAGACATGTACATGTACAGTGTGTACTGGTGTAGTGTACAGTACATGCTGACTTTGCCATGTGTTCAATGAACAGGCTGCTCAGATCTTGGAGAGAGAATTAATTTATTAATTTAATTAATTTATTCAGTGTACATGTACAGTACATGTACCGGTATGTGTACACTGTATACATGCATACTGTACATGTAGAATTCAGGAAGATACAGTGAATAGGCTTCTTACTTGAATAAACAGGAAACTCTTTCGCATTATTGGGAACATTATATTGTTTCCAGACGGATGTTCAACTACATGTACTCCTCTGTTTATAGAACATGACCTTGCAACGCCCATCCACCACTGATGACTTGTAATGGCCATACTGTAATTTGTTGTACATGGCATGTGTAGTATGGTGTTCATGTGAAATAAATTTATGGTTGAGGAAATTAAGCATATTACAAATACATACATGTACATGTACCTTGCGTTAAAAATTTGTATAATAGTCTCTTTTTAAACTGAACAATATTTATACATTTTAGCTTTCACTGGGTTTCATTGTAAAGAATTTAAAACTTTAAATTATTCTTTTGTAACTAAGGTAATCATCAAAAGACAGAAAATAATAGTTGTACAAGCATTCTGGTTGAGGTACATGTCACTGGTAACCTTTAATGCCTTGCCAAGCAAGATGTTAATTAAATTAAAAATCACTTTTTTAAAAGAAATAGTTCTGTCAGAATCAAACAAAACAAATAAATGCTTATGAAATTCTGTAAGTGTAAAGTGTAAGTAAAAGGTTTATTTAGACATCACAACAAAGATATGCCAGAACTAGAGTGAATGGTGATGAATCAATTGAGAGGGAATATGGGGCTACACATGTAGCGGCTTACATAGATGTACAAGCTTGTTGAGAGCATCTTACAAAAGAAGTGAAAAGATGGGTACAAATACACATAGAGTATCAAAGCATCTACAGGTCTTCCATGAAGAGCAGCTCGCCCACTTCCAAGCTAACCCTCCGGCTCAATTTCGTTATGTCAGCATGGTTTCTGATGAGTTACATGTACATGTATTTTGTATTGCCATACATGTGTATGACCAAAATTCAGCTGATGTTGCAATTGAAAACAGAAATGGTTTTAACTTGAAGCTACTGGTCCCGGTAATGTCACATCAAAGCATCTGCACGTCTTCCATCCAGAGAAGTGACAACTCCTGAGCTGGTTTATTTTTTGGCTTAATTTGGAAATGTTTGCAGGTTTTCTGAGGAGTTACATGTACATTGTACATGTATCAACCATAGGACCCAAATTCAGATGTTTGTGCTTCGATGGAACAAGTAACATGTATTTAAGGACCAGAAAACATGCACAGTTTGAGCTAGGACGTCTGTGGAAACAGTCATTCTGTGACTTAGAATTGAGTTTGTGTTGTGGCAGTGTACGCTTTCATAAGTTGGTGTTTTGTGCATCAGAATTTCTGCAGATACACATTACTATACTGTAAGTCATCTGAAAGTAAACTTGAGCATCAAGGTAATGGATCTCAGCTAACCATTTTTACCCCACAAATATGTTTGTCGTTGTTTCATTTGGACATACATGTATGTAGGTGTTCATTTCTGGAGTGCAAACTTCCCTTCCCGGCGAAAAGTCTGAGGCACAGGCAATGAACACAGCGCCCTCTTGTGTTTTGTATTGGTAATTTTTTTATTGCTCTGATTGCCATTGAAACTGACACAGACCTTTTTGTTTGATTATTCCAATCCTTTTGCATATTCAGATTGAGAAAACTTGCACCATACTCTTACACATGGGTACATTGTACATGTACATGCATCAGTGATTGGAATTTGTCCTGTGCTCAGGAAAGGTACTTATGTACATGTACATGTACAGAAAATTATACTCTTCGCCCTGAGCTGAAGTGCAGCCCCAATTGGCAAAAGAAAGACAGGTGGTTACATTTAGATTTATAAAAATGATTACATGTATATGGGGATAATTGGGCATAATATATACTTATGGTGGACATTTGGTTGGCTACCAGTGCAAATTAAATGGAGTTGAATTAATAAAGTTTTACGTCAAAGTGTTTACACCAGAGGACTTGATTTCAAAACTTCTCTCAACAAGAAGGAGAATGCATTATAGTTTTCGACTGATGTATTTTAAAGCACCTAAGAAATAACTTTAAAAATTTAAGCCACGGAAAAAGGAGCACAAAATTGACGGAAAACGATGAGAAAAGTTTGGCTCTCTTCATTCTCTTACTGTTTATAATTACTCTCACTATACCAACATATTTGCTAGGTCTTGTATATTTCGACCACCAAAAATTATTTTTAAGTTTGGCTGCATCAAAAATTTATAATGAGTACAATGTGTTCGTTGCGAATGTTATATTTGACAGAATTTTGATCATGTTTGATAATTTTGACAGAAACTGCATAACGTTTGAGAATGCCGAAAATGCTGTCACATGTAGTGCTCAAAAATTCCATGCGTGATTTTTTTTTGCCGGTTATTTTGGAGATAACCCGCTGAAAATAAAATTAAAATTAACAACTTTGAGCTTTAGATTTTCATCATGAATTGTATTTTATGTCTTGAACGTTATTTTTTTGCAAACGTTATTCAGAATGACGGATTTTCTTTCGAGAAAAGTCATTCCGAGAGAAAAATCACGGAGCGTCGCCATTCCGTGGAGGGGTTCATGAATATTGAATAAAAAAGAGCGCGCACTATGTGGCTTGATGTCAAAGGTCAAACAGGCCACAATGCAGCAAAATGTTTCTCTAACGCCACCGCGAGAGATTGATGGAAGCCACAAAATTGCCACGATTGGTATTTTGGACTGCGGTTTTCAGGAACATACTTGAAGAAAATGTGATTGGTCCAGTCGTAAAAGGATAATGGTTTGGCGGTGCTTTTTTGCATCCTTTTTTAAAGCTTGTGCTGTACATCAATATATGGATTTTACTCACTTTTTTTGCAGTCGATTTTTTTACACTAATGATAGAATAGAATGACATTTGCGACTGCCGACTTTGGGACCCGATTAATTATGAGAGGTACTTTTTAATTTCATGATTATGGTTTTAATATGTGTAAATATTATCCCCTTTCACCACATATAAATCTGTGTAAAATAACCTCGGGAATTATCACTCCTCAGTAAACTCTGTTTGCTCGGATTTTAACAGGGAGTTCATGTCCCTCAAAATTGCTAACGTTCGAGACTTTAATTAACTAACTCCAATTAAGTTGAAAGGTTGACATGGTCATCATTGTTCCAGATATCAGCCATTACTTCCCTCATTACCCCCAAAGTTGAACATTATCTAAATTAGATATTATAT